TATACATTAACAACACAAACGCACCTCGTCGCGTCACCACCGGGTTGCAGCGGGCGAGTTATTACACTCGGCGGAGTGTTCGATGAATGAGCAATTAGTCAAACGGCTGCAGAGTGTCCCTCGGCGTCCTGCTGAAGACGTCTGCCGCGAATTTCCGTTCGCCGCCGGAAACAGCCCGGTTCCGGAAAAGTGCACAGGGGTTCGCATTTTGTTTTCCGGACGTCTCTATATATCGTCCTCTGGAGATGTATATTATGTTTTGTATCGTATTTAGTGGCTGTTTTGAGAGACACTGGACCAACAACTATACCATACGCGGCGTCCGGCGCGCGCGTGTGTGTGTGTGTGTGTTTAAGGATATGAATGATTACCGGAAACGCACTACGTCTCCTCGGTCGCGTACGAGTCTATTGTAGCGGACTGTTTGAAATGAGCTTACAATTTTATTCGTCGAGAACAATGGAAACTCGTCGGCGTAGGTGTACACACATTTATATATTACTATGTGGTGCTATCTTCCCTCTGCACAAACGAAACAAGTACGACAGTAATATTATGTGCGTCTGACAGTTCACACTCAAACAAAAAAATACACGATAAGAAGACGCGTGTAATCCCAACTCGAAAACAAACAAGATGTTAATTGTATGTTATAAAATAACCGTACAAGTAGGTACTTAATAAATAATTAATTCTAAATGACCTGTAGTTATATAATATAGTGTAGTACTACATTATTAACAGACATAATAATAACTCGTTGACTTATAATTAGAAATGTTTAACTTAAGGTAGGTACGAACAATATTAGCATTGGATAATATGTAATATAATATTATAATAATTAACAATACGAATTATGTACCCATATATAATAGTACCTACCTACACGTCCAACACCACAACTTGCTCCTTAGAAGACTCATCTTTACTATAGACCCTCTCAACGAAGAGAGATTCACTTAAACTGAGTTAAGAAGACGGTCATCAGCCTATGATATATTACTAAGTATATCTTATGATGTTATTGTGGATAAAGTAATTTATTTACCAACTTACGTGGAACCTCGTTTTAAATTTTCAATCCTTAGCTATAATAATTAAAAATTGTATACATTTTTAACTAGAAAATCGTTTTAAAATTTAAAATTTAATACATTTTGTCAAAATTCGATCTTTAAATAATTATAAAAAAAAATGTGTGCCTATGAATTGTTAATATATTTCCACTGCTTTTTGTATCAATATATCGAGAAGCATTGTAATAAAAATGTCACGCTTTTCGACCCAACAAATACAATTTTATTTACATTTATAGGATAAAAAACTAAAAAAATTAAAAATTGAAAATTCCAGTTGAAAATTAGCTAATTTGACTTTCAGGTAGAGATTTTTTTATTTGACAAAGGTAGACAAACTTATGAGGAATCTTCAATTAAATGTTCACATCTTAGATTTAAAAAGAAGTATTTATATGAATATGTAACTCAAAATAATTTGCACATTTTCGTGATTTTTACGTATCTTGTCAAAATTCAAACTTTAAAACGCTTACAAAAAAAAAAAAATTGTGTCTTTATAATATTTTTAATATTTCTCATCTGTCATTGTAATAATATATTAGGAGCCTTGTATTAAATTTTCAAGTTTTTTGACCTAAAGAATACAATTTAATTGACATTTATTGAAAAAAAAACTAAGACAATTGGAAACTGAAAATATTCGTAAACCGCTAAAAACAAGTCAAAATATTTTATCGTGTATAGAAAATACTAATATAAATCTTCAGTGAAAGTTTCATGTATTGTCTTCATTTTTGATTAAGAAGAGTAAAAAAAATAAGTGTTTTGTCCGCGAACCTCTGACGTTTAAATAATACATGTCCCTTTGGTAATTTGAGTTGGAGACCACTGTCGTACAATATGCATGTCGAATACGTAGTTCTAGGTACCTATATAGGCACCGTCACGAATTAAGTATACTATATTATGTATAGGTACCTATTTATTTAGGTATATCTTAATTCGTGGGTGCAGCGTATATGCATCGTTAACAGTAGCAGTGTAAAATAAAATATTCAGTATAGCATTTTAATTATGTAGCTTGCGGTATGCTTAAATAACCTGAACAGAAAACAATCATCAGTCCTAAGTAGATACCTATATTTGTCCACGTACGAGTGCGTCTTATAAATATTTTATTTAATGACATAATACGCCGTTGTCCGTACATCGCATCATCGTTATATCAATATTACTATAGTGGTATTATATTGAATAAGGCGAATGCAACGGTAACACAGTGTTTCTTCTATTTCGTTTGTTATTTGCGCTCTGTGTGAAAAATGTGAAGTCGTTTTTTGTTATTATTATGACGTCAGATCGGCTATTTAATATTATTAGCATTATACACCGCGAGGAACTCGCGATATATTACAAGATTGGAGTTCAAGGCACTTTGACTGCGCACCTGCGATTCCCGAGGGCCGGCCATAGAGGTTTATAATAAATCATACATATTATATTATAAGCATTATAATGTATAGAGGTATTCTTCACCGGGTTCATCATCATGTGATCGCAGTAACGAGATTAAAAAAAAATATATAAAAATACCCTCCGTACAACGATTGTGCATTCAGAGCTTTCCGTGTCCGTAACAAATCGATGACGGTAATAATAAGTAATAACCACCACGTGGTGTGATCTATAATGAGTCATGATAACCCGATAAACCCCCCGGGAGGTCGTTAAGATTTCCCCGGTCCGATCGACGGCTGCACGGACATAATTTAATATTTCAGACCCCGGGCACCGCCACATTATTGGCCCTTGGTCAACTCTGGAGATCATTAAATTCTATAAGAAAAATATTGTATATTATATACACCACAGCAATAACGACCTGTGAGTGATGACGAGTGATGTTGTATATTATAATAACACTATATCTAGGTATATAACATTTGGTATAATATTATAATACTTGGTGTAATATTATAACGTTTAAGCCCGCTCCACGAGACGCGGTCACTAGAAAAATGATAAAATAATAATACCTCCAATTTCCGTCGTGTAATTAAAAATCTACTAGCCCGAGGACGACTGCTGCGATCGGGTCGTTTTCTTCCGATGATTTTGATTGTTAATGCTTTTGCAGTCTTCAGTTAGTACCCACGATGTGTCCTCTAAACGGCGTTATTGTTTGAACGCGTTTCTGTATATAAGTATTGTGCCGACACCTATATAGTATTAAACTTAGATGGACAAATAATTCGCAAACGATTCTTATATAGGCGTAGGTCGAGATTGATTATAATGATTTATAAATCATGCGATTCGTGTCTCCCTAACATATAGGTACCTAAATATTACTCTTAGGAAATCAAAAACTTAATTTGCAGCTTTAACTCGGTAGATTTTCACTCAATTTCAATGCGTTATTTTTTTAACTGTTTTAAAAATTAAAAAAAAAATAATGGCCATATTCAAAATTAAAAAACTGAATAGTATGAAAACAATTTTTGGACTACGAATTTGAATATAATATCAATTTGCCACACAGACACTAATATAGGGTACTATACGTGATTTTTTGGATACACTACCTATACCATTGATGCTCCTTGTGCGCGAGGTTCGTCCTATGCGGAATGGTTTTGTCATTATCATCATCCGCAAACGAATCGTGTATTATAAACACTACGTATACAACCGGCATTGAATTACGCCCGACATCTCGGACCATGGTATATGGTCAAACGAACGAGTAGATAGGTACACTATAGTTGTACCTACAAATTAATTATTTTAATATATGTAAACACCCGGCGGCCGATTGGCGCGCGCGAACAACGGATTAAAAAATATATATATAAAAAAACCAACACCGTCGGCGAGAATAATAATATTATAAATAAAATTCCCACGATCGTATTGGAGATTCTTCGACGCATTCATATTATTATCCGAACTGTGCTCGTTGGACTTTTCTCGAGGGTGATGTTTCTCTGGTGATATTATTATTATTAAAATTCTCGCATTGTTTTCCGTCTCGTTTTAAATGTCTGTGACATTTTCTGTACGTCGTTGTTTCTGCGCACACGGTGTATAGAATCGAATTAGGTACTATTATTATGTCATCAACTTAAGCCAGTGAAAAAAATTTCCACAGAGCGGACATTTATGAGTGCAGCCTAGACACGTATGTTATTCGTATAATGATAATAAGAACTGCGTTGTCTGTTGTGATAATTGGACAATCGTTTGTTCGCGTATATAATATTGATATTAAAAAATAGAAAATGACCGCTCGTTGATCAAAAGTTTTTGAATAAAAAAACGTGTTATGCTCGTCTGCAAGCTATACCTTTATAGATTATTTATAGCTGGTGCAGTCGATGCAGTACGCATGCAGAAATAAATGATGTTTTTTGTAAATAATGGTGCTCTTTTTAGTTGGCGCCACTTATAGACTTATCTGCATCAAATAAAGACATTTACGAAGCCTAAATAATATATGAAACTTGCTATGTAACTGGTGTGGGATCGGCTGCAGATATTATTAAAAGAGACGTTATATTTATATGCCTATTATGTTAGTATAGTTGTAGTAGGTCTCCGACTAAATAATATTTTGAGTTATCTTTCGACGAGGATCACGAATGTCGACTGTTGGTACTTATATATTATAATATTATATTACTAGGTACACATATTTTAATAAATGTTTACTTAATATTGTTATATTGTGGTAAAAGATACTCCGACTGAATAGTATATAACACGCCATTGTGCAATATCGAACTCGTATTTGGAACACACATGGGACAAAGTAACTTACAATATCATATTATTGTGATTATTGTACAATATCAGATCTTATATGTTATGTTATTATCGTTAACGCACGTTTAACAATACCGCACCGGCGCACCCACTTTTGGGTTTCTGGTTTGCGAATTTCATATTATCTTTGCATAGGGACTTCCCGCGGCGAAAATGTTTGTCTGGCGCCAAAGCGTTGAATCCCTTGAATGCGATTTTGGTATCGATAAATCCATTGGCGCCATGTGCCCGTGTACGTGAAAATACACGAAAACAAACAATAGTGTTATACAAAATAAAATGAGATTGGAATATATAGATACGACGTTTTATATTATGTTTTAGCCACCGATGCGGTTTAACCAACGAAGACCTGAACAGAAAATGGAGTTCGCCTGACCCAAAACTGCATCCAGAAATATTTCATGCTCGGGTACATATGACATATAATAATATACCATATAATTTATTGTGTGGTTGTCTATAAATTCAATCCAATTTTAATCTGTCAAAAATGTTTACACAAAAATCGATGTAGCAAGTAACAATAGAATTATCTTATGGGTACAATCGTTCCAATAAAAGTGTTTTATACATACTATACTAAGGAGCTAGAATAGTATGGAATGAAAAAAAAATATCCATTAATCTTTTTCAAAATGCTTTATATAAATGCATACTTACATTAAGAAAGATTATACCTAATATGTGACAATGAATAGTTACTTTTATATAATTGTTATCGGTATAACTCACAATGTAGTACTTAATAAAACTTTTCTTGTAATTATAATATTATTATAATTAATTATTACTCAACTAAAAGCAATAACAATTTAATTTAATACAACTATATTGAAGCATTAAAACAAATTTTAAAAAAACTTAGGGAGATATCAAGGTATTATATTTTGTTTTCTCTCTCTAGCCACTCATAACATAGCTAATTTACGTTTAGCAGAACCATCCCTTTGTTATTTAGTCATTATTTTTAATATTATAGAGTGAATTCATCTATTATCAAACTTTAAGTTAAGAACACTGCCTGTGTCCCTAAGTTGGCTATTTTATGATATTTCAATTTTTATATAAGTTATGAGCGCGTAAATTATTTAAAAATGTTTATAAATTGTATAAAAGTTAAAATATCGTAAAATAAGCAAACGTAGGAACACAGGTTCTTGGTTTACAGTTTGATAATAGGTGAATTCGCTCTAAAATTAAAAGTAACAACATGTGGTTAGTTCTGCTAAACATAAATTGTTGCTATGTTGCTCCTCGGTCAGAGAGCGAAAACAATAAATTAATGGTGCTCTGACATCGTCTTAAGTATCCACTTTATAACATTAAGATAACACTGTTGTACCTACTTAATTTTATTTAATATATTATATGGACTGATTAAAACTTAAATAATATTATCTAATTCAGTTGTATAGTTTAAATCAGATAATATACAATCCCGGTTAAATAGATCTAAATCAATAACATTATTGTTATCTATAGTTGTATTATTCATGCCTTATGGCTATCCATTTAAGAATATGTAACCTTTCAGCTCTATTTGTTATTATTTATGTAGTTATTTGATAATATAACTCTAACAAATATTTAAAACTTAGTAGGTTATAGGTAACTACGCAATAAAACTAAGTGAAATATTGGTCTTGATATAGCAACAGTTATAACTGAATTATTACAATAAAAGATTTTAATCTTTCAATGTTAAATGTAATTTTACGGTTAATTGTTACAAACAATGCTAGGACACATTAATTAATGTTATTTTAAATACCTTATCTGATATTATTTTATTCTTATAACCACTCAACTAATTCAATAATTATATTGTGCTTAAAAACTTTAAGTAATTTTATGTAATTATGTATATTATTATATAATATATAAATTAAAAGTTAAATTAATTTTATGGTTGAATAATTATTAACATAAATTAACTAATATTTTTAATGTTATAGGGGATTTTGGAATACATGACACACGTAATGAAAAAGGTTCCCTATGTGTATTGTGATTTCCATGGTCATTCAAATACTAAAAATTGTTTTTTTTATGGATGCTCGGCAAAAAAAAGTTGGTCAAGAATGGACTTGACTAAGTATGAAAATGAAACGGATTTCATGGTCAGTCATTATAAGAATGAACTAGTTCAATCGCATACAATATATTCTTTTTAAAAATTAATGTTCCCTATACACAGAACAAATAAGCGTAATATAGAAGTCAGCTGGTCCGCTAGTCTAACAGGTGTCATTAAATTAAAAAGCAATGGTACCTTAGGTACTTAATTATTATATAATTTTGGCACACAAAAACTATTTTTAACGCAACGAAAATATTACTAGGAATATTTTGTTAAAAACGAGTGCAAGTTTACATTATTTCTTCTGTAATTTTATGCGAGAAACCTTATCCATATTAAATTTATCATCTATGGTGATACGGAATGCGTATATTAATGACGTGTAATCACGGACTATTGGACTAATATATCTTAGTACGTGTGTGTAAATTACTGTAATATACATTTACCAGTGTATCACGTACCCGTTTAAAAACCAGTGACCACCCTTGTTTTGATAAATATCTAAAAATTATTCACTCACTACAACTTAATTGTTTATAAAACTATATACAAAGAGTAATTGAAATTAAAATTTTAAAGTTTAAACGATTATATTATAGCTTATACCTACATTAACATACTGAAAACGATTTTCACTTAATTTTAAGAGTCATAATAGTATTATCGACAATTTTTCGTAATGGATTTTTATTATACTTTTTAATTACAAGGTTTCGATGTAAATTTTGTGGTGCATATATTTTCAATGTAGGTTATTAAAATATTATTATTCGTTCTTATAAGATTATTTCATATTATAAACTGAAAATATAATGAATTGCATTTAAATAGTGTTCGTTTAAATATTATTTTACAAAATTATGTGCTGAAAATTAACGATATGTATACCTACTTAATGTGTATTTTTCAGGTATTACCGATTGTAATGCAAAACTGTTGTCCATCGTTCTCGTTATCACAGTGTAATTACAAAGTAGAAAGAAATCGTGAAACCACTGCAAGAATAACGGTTTGGAGAAGCTACGGTGTAAAAAGGAGTTATACTTTGGAGACAAGTTATTGTGGTTGTGACGAAGGACAATACAAAGTAATAACATATTGTATTTTCGATTGTAGACTGAATAATGTATTGTAGTTGTGTAAAAAACTAAAATCACAAGACGTAAGGCCCGGGTTTCAATGCAAAGTACATAATTTTTTGGGTGTTTTAAGACGAAGCATTCCAAGTGCATAATTCATTACATAATATAACTGTTTACTGTTGGTGTTATACTTCAAAGGTGAAACTTTTATTTTGAATTTTGTTTAGCATTTTCTAGTAATTTTATTATTTTTTTAGTGCATATTAATACGAGCTTTTAGTGCAAATTAAGTAGGTAATTTAAAACACTGTTTAGAGAAATATTGTTTTCATAATATTTATTAGCTGCTCTCAACTACTATAAGTATTTAAATTTACTTAAATTATTAATTTATTTTTCTAACTGTTATATTTACTATTGTTTCACTATTTCTGTTATAAGTTTATAAGTTTTAAGGTTATAAGTTTTAATAGCCGTTTGGCGTTTATATTCTAATAAATAAATAAATAATTAAATAAATTTGCTTTAATAGTTAGGTACATTGTGATGGCATTTATTGCAAGTACATACTGTTTTTTATTTATCATGTGTTATTTTATTTAAGTTCAACATTTTTCTTTTTTTATTATTGTAAGTTTAGTTAAGATTAACTTAGTTAAACTAGTTTTGAAGTGTTGAACTGCTGAGTGTCGAACCGTCGTTTTACTCTCTCTTCACTCTTGGTTATAAAAACAAATTGGGTCAATTTTTATGGACATTATTGCGTTAAAAAGGCATATTTTTGAGGCATTGTTGATTATTTTTAAAAACATAATTTTTAGTGTATTTAAATCCAGGCCCTTATAAAGTTATGACGATGTCAAAAAAATAATCGTTATTAATAACCATTGATTATAAATGATTATAAATATTTTCAGGGTTTTCATTTAGGAATAAGGCAACTTAGAGAGATTGGGTCGACTTTCTGCATGTCCCTTTCTTCGTTAGAAGAAGAAACGAAAAAGAGAGCGAGTCTTCCCCACAGCAATCGATTATCCACAATAACAGCGAGGTATGTTGAAATGGTTTTTAAATGGTACTAAAAAGAACCAGGTGGTAGGTAACTATGTAAATTTCTTAACTTAAATTTTAGTATCGGAGAAATAGAGACATTCAATTTATTTTTAACTTTATTTACAGACAGACTGCGCAGTCTGTCTGTAAATAAAAATATGTATAAAATATGTGCAGTAGATTCTTAAATTACGTCGAACTTCGATATCTCAATTTTTTTGTAATCCGGAGTCAATTGAAATCTTCCTTGAAATTATTACCTTCATAACAATAACATAAAACTTGACATCTGTAACTTGTTTATATTCCTATCGAGTTTCGACACAACAAGAACTATATTAATTTATTTATCACGAGATTCGATTGGGGTTTCTTTGAAAATTTTATTTTTTTTGTCAAAGTCAAATTATTTTTATTTGTGTGTATCATACACAAGTGATTTTAGTAGGTAACTCTAATTCAATAAATGTATATGTTTATAGTTCCAGTTCAAAATCTATGGATTTTGTAGACGAAGAACAGTCAGACTCAGATTGAAAACTGCCTATAAGAAAGTAATCGACTTTAATTAACAAATTAAATAAATCCTATTTAAATTTAAATTTTATTTGTTTGTGTTTATTGTACAATTGTTTTAGTTTTTTGAAAAAAACAATGACTTTGTTACGCTCCTTAATTTTTTACTATTTATAACATTTATTCACTATTGTATAAGAGCCAATCTATACGCGGCCAAACACGGCGCTAAATCGCTTAAAATATTTATTTTGTACTGATTTGTTAACAAATAATTTTTTTCTTAAGAATTGTGTGTTTTTCCATAAGTTTTCCATAATCATTAAAAAAAAAAAAAAAATAATAGATATAAGTTTAGAAAGTATAAAATAAATTACATTTAAATACACAGTATAAACGGTACATTTTATTATTAATTATAACACTATCATGTCAAATTAAAACCTATCATAACAATTAATAGGTATGTTTTTTTTTTAATCAATAGGTGACCAATTTAATTTTAACAAATTAATGCAGTTTTTTTTACAAATATTTGTATACCTATATATGTTTTAGAAATTATTAAAAAAAAAAACGGTAATTTTATCATATTTTAATATTTTAATTATTTCTTTTTCCATCAATACCTATATATTACATTATATTTTATAGTAAAGTTATAAAAAAAAACTGTACACGGTACACTATTCACATAAAAATACGAATACCTATGAAATAATTTATACAGAAGTACTGAACATTGAAAACTGAATATTAAAATTAAGATTTTGAATACCTAATTAACTGTAATAATTATAACATGAAACATACTAAATTATTATTATAATCATAACTAAATTGTATCCATAACTATAAACCTGTACATATTATAATGTTTACCTTATTTTAAATTTAAGTACATAAATTGTCATTGCATTTTAATTGTACTTAACCTATAATCTTTAGAACGCTGTTACTGAAATATTTACTTAGTACAAGTGTTTTGATTTTTAGTATTTATATTATGTACCTACCAACCATCCTATGTCCAACTCTCCAATCATGCTAACCTATAGTTTAATATGTTATAATTTTAAGTATTAAATTCTAAAACGAGCTAGTGACTCTATTCATTTTACAAGATATGTATTTATCATTTTATATGTTATATTAAGTGTTAAACTATATACCTACTTTATTAAGTAAATTGGTGATTGGGTAATTAATAAGCTTAAATTTAAATATGTTCACCAAATTTGGACGGCCGTGGGAGGGGGGATAGGACATAAAAAAAAGTAATACATTGTTTGAATTAATTTTTATTTTGAAAAAACTAGTAATCTAAAATAATATACCTACAGTATACGAATATAATACAGGCTGTAACAGACAGGCTTGACAGATGACAAATTAAAAATTGACAAGTACAAGTTCAACATATGAAAAAATATGAAAATTATATGGATAGTAAACGATTTGGGAATTACTTAGATACGTCTGAAAATTCTCAAAAATAATATTTTGATAAAAGTTGATAAGATTCAAATTAATTTACTTCAAATTATTTTAAAATTATTAAAAAAAATTTAAAACATAAGCTACTTGGCATAAATAAAAGTTTTTAACTTTAACATATTTTTTTTTAAATTAGAACTACAAATTGGCGATGTTGAGTTTTCCAAAAAAAATTTAATCAAATCTATAAGTTTTTATTTTAAGTATTATAAATAAATAAACATATACCTAATATTTTATACTGTATGAGTGTATAATAACTGTTTAAAAAAATAATTTTAATCATTGATTTAGAACAAAAGTAATTTCATTTGTCAGGTCTTTCTGTATTCTGTTACACCTTGTATGCCTACATTTCCTATTAGACAGGGGCGTGCTCAAAGGGGGAGGGGGTTATTGGGTTCCATAGTGCCCTCCTATGGACACTTTACTATAATATATACACTTACATATAATTATAATAACTTATTAGGAACAAATCTAGGAACAAACCTACGCCAATTTTTCAATTTTATTTTTTCGAAACCTATATTATATTACAAAGAGTTAAAAAGAAAGGTTTTGCAAAAATGAATTGCCGAAAATCATTAGTTTTTACTTTTTAGGTTATAGCCTTACAAAGTTCACGATTTTCGGTATTTTACCACACATGCGTACAACTCAATATTGTACCGCGCTTTTAGAACTTTTCTATTTTACCGAACAACCTTTTTTTTCAATTTGTTTTTGTTTTAACGTACCTATTAAAGCATACCTGAGACAAGCATGCTGAAAACGATGGGGAAGTCTGAATTTGGAGGTCAGACTTATTTTAAAGTTATAGTTAATTAAAATTTTTGAAATTTTTTTATACCCGGCGTTGTCACTCTCTCGCTGTTCTCTCTCGGACAATTAAAATCGAAAATATCCCTCGACTTGTTATGTAAAACCACCATAGAGGAGTATCAGAATTATTTTTGCACCATACATTTTAAAAAGTTAATTTACCTACTACCTAGGTTTCAAAAAAAAAAAAAAAAAAATTGAAAATTCGTTAGCACAAAACACCAAAAATCGTGAACTTCTTAAGGCTATATACCTAAGCACGCCTCTGCTATTAGACAGTCTGAACGAGAACTATTATAACACTGACAAATTATTTTCAGGTGACGTAAAAACTTTAAAAGTAATGAAAAGTAAATTATAATCATTAATCAACTATAATAAGACTTTATAACTATAAATATAGAGAGAAGCGTCTGTAAATGGAGTAGAGCAGCAAAAAGTCCGAACAGGGTTTAGATTAGAAGGGTTGGATTAGAAATTAGATTAATAGGATTGAATGAAGACATAAAGTTGTATCGTACCTTAATATGTACCTATCTATAATTACAAGAATACAAAACTAAGTATTTAAGTATGCGCAACTCTTAAGTTAGAATACGCATTAGACCGATAATTACAGTAATAAAATGTATATCTAACAATATTAAAAACCATTAAGTAGATATGCCTACCTCTATAACTAGGTACTTAAATGCGTAAACTAAATATTTAATATATTCATAAATCAAAACACCAATCAACACTATAATGTTATATACCTAAGTAAAAGTAGTAATATAAATGTGTTCTACGTTCTACGCCTTCATATCTATTATAAATAGCATTTTTAAAAGTAGCGAGTTCAAAATAATATACTGATAATTTAATAATTGATACATTTACACTGATACATTGATACATCGTTATTTTATAACAATCTTATGCTTTAATAGAAATTACAAAAATGTTCTATAAAATAATTATATCTCGATGCATATTATACAGTTTAATTATTTGTTGAAATCAGTGTTTGTTAAAATAAGCACAATGCGATAGTATAAAATGTTTTGTTGTAAGAAAAACAGCATTTTTTTATTATCTATACTAATTTGTATTTATTACATTGACATTATTAATCGTACTCTGTAGATATTAGTAATGAAGATAATCAAATTTATGAACAAGTTTATTAATTTATATAAATTTTAAACAACAGTTTTCTAATTTTTTTCAACTACAATTTTATTATCTTAACGTTAAATTATAAATATAACTTATTTATTCTAAATAAAATGTCATATTAATTTATTTACAAAGCTCCATAATGTTTTCCATAACAATTAGGCAAAGTTCAAGTGTTATAAGTCATAGTTATTTGTATAAGTTCAAGACCCGTTAACTGTGAAATACATTATTATAATAATTAAAATAATCTATATTTCATTTAATATTGAATTATCGTATGAAATCGTTTTACACAGTAATTTTTTCAAAACTTCAACTAAAAAACAAATGTTCGGTTCATTGTTAGTTCTTATACTTGACACCATGAATTACAGTATTATAGTACACACAGTTAGTACAGTATATATTACACTGTGTTACACTGTGAAGGTACATTACACCTAAACGGAAAAAGTAGGTCATTTCAATCTGATGGTATTAAAAATTGAAATACACATAAAATCATAATATCATGTGTGCACATATCATTTTTATGTAAATTCATTATGATAAATTAGGTACAATAAAGTCAGTTTGCAAATAATTATGTAATAAAAAAAGTGATTAATTTGCATGACAGTTCCGCAGTAGAAAAACGAACAATCGTGTAATATTAGACCATAGATCGTAATTTGAATGATATAAATTTTATTGATCCGAAAACAATTTGTTTGTATTTCGTGTAGGTATATGTAGGTTTAATTTTTTCAACAAGTCATATAATCGCGCATAGCGCCCAAAATAATATATTCTAATTAGACATAATAATAATTTGATGAATAATATACGTGATGTAGTATTATGCCGTGTCGTGCACACATGCGGAACCGTTTAACTGAAATGAAAACAAATAATAATAATATGATATTTTGTAAAGGGCTCATCGTTCGTCGTGTGGCGCGTATAAACGTTGTAGCATATTATGAGAGTGAAACTCTATAGCTGTGGGCCCGGTAAAACGGTTATAATAAAATACGATAAAATGCTAAAACGCGTGCGACGGAGACAGACGACCAAACAAAATATGGTGGAAAACAAAGGTTGACAAACGAGATGACAACAATGCCCCATTTTAAAAATGCACTTGTTCAAACCGACGGTGCCAGTAACACTTGTATAAACCGCCATCGGAGCATTATATAGGTACCTATATAGAAGCCACGCCGCCGCCGTATAATAGTGCGCCTACATATAGGTAATACATTAATATTTTTTGACATAACTGAAAAACTCTCGAACCGTAGGAATAATATATTATGTAGGTACCACACAATTTACTGGTTTTCGGTTTTTTTTTCACCGATCTACGGACTCATTGTTTGTACCATACATTTCGTACGTTACCAAACACACGCGTTTACGAAGAGCATGCCAATTTAAGCTGTTTTTCGAAATTCCCGAATTGTAATAAAATATATAACACAGCTGGTACCAACATTACCGCGGAAGTTGATAAAATTGAAAAAACACTATTATTCATCGATTATAATGTTATC